AGTTTAATACATTATAACTACGGGTATATATCATTGATAATGGTCTTGGAAAAATAAACGGGCCGAAAATCTTAACGATTGTTGATTAGAAAAAACGACTTCGCAACGACCATACTCGCGTCGTTGTAGACCCGTTATCTGGGAAATGTTTCAATTTTTCGAGTAAACTGATTTTGAATTGAACTTCGAGTTCACTTGCAATTAAACGTCTGACCTGAAGGCTGAAACAACCAAAAAGAAAAATGGCCACTAGTGACTTTGCTCGAGAAATCGCCATGATGAATATAGTCGAACGCGTTGAAACATGGCCACATGGGTAATGCCAGTGGAAGACGAAGAACTAACGCTTGAAATTAAAGACTTAGAACAGAAACTAGATGACGACGAGGACGAAGACAATATACTAGGCGATATAATTTGGTTGTTTAGTGAAAATGATACTGACGAATGCACTGTCGAGGTAGGCAGCGGAGACGCTGCAGCAGCAGTCACGACGCCCTCCGAGAAGCTCGGACCAGCCGAGCAGGGACACGGACTACGGCAGGCTGAAGACCTGCAAGCGCCAGTACAACATCAAAAGGCAGACTTTATTTTATCTGCGGGAGAAACGGACACGACTATGCTAGACGGAGAGAACGGACCAGATACGACCATCAGTGCAGTATTACCGAGGAAAAATCCACGTGGTAGGACTATAAGGCGGTTGTGCGCCGCCACGTGGAAAGGCGCGAAGCGCGTACTGCTCTGCGGTTGTTTCCGGAGGTCGTGAAGCCAGTGGCATAGAAACCCCCCCCCCCCAGATGAAGACACCAGGACAAGACGGCGGCGACGGGGGGAGTGGTAAGTGAAAGAGCACTGTACGGTGCCTGGCGGTAAGTCACCCTATACGTTTTTTGGCCACCCGCAGAAAGACGAGATCGCAGTCGCCAGCGTCGCGAGCTCGCGGTTGCCGACACGCGAGACCATCAAGACGACTCGGCGAGGGCCCGACTGCTCCGATCACACCAGGAGCCGATGGACGACGACGACGGCGGTGGCTAGCTGTACCGGCGCGGGCAACGATACCGCCCCGACGGTACCACGCGACGATGGCAGAGTGCACGAAGGCGACAGCGCAAAGGCGTCGGCGGCGGAGACTGCAAAACACAACGGGCGAGCGGATACAGCTGCAGAGCTAGGAACACGGAAGTCAGCATCGCCGGACCCGTGGAAACGGATAACGTTTCAGGGTCCGGCGATGTGCGACTCCAGGACGGCCACCGGACGGTGACTCGGTCGAGTCAGGGCGAAAATCGATTGGAGAGGATTAGGACCTTTGCGGCGTGCTTTGCCGTGAGGTCCGACGATCCTCTCCCCGCGTTTTCGCTCAGTGGCAATCGGTCGGGTCACCGGCCGATTCCGTAGCGTCGACGCAGCTGCCTCTGCTCCATAGAGTAATATATATAGATACTCTATGCTCTGCTCGCTCAGTTTTTTAGGTTTCCGTCACCGTCGCCACCCGTCGGTCGTCTTCAGTACCTGCGCATCGTCGATGAGCACAACATCGCGCACTAGCCGCTAGCCGTCAAATCGTCTCATCGCTCCCGTGGCCGCGGCGGTCGGGACTTCGTCAGCCGTCGTGATGGTCGTCACCCGCGAGCAAACGCACTGGCTACTGCACTCGTCCGCCTGCGGGATGTGCCGCGAAAACGTATACAGGTGACCAGTAGCCAGCATATTGCTTTATGCACCTCGCCATCACGTACCGCTCCCCCCTGCTAATTGTGTCTTGTCTGGTGTTCCCCCCCATAAGGCCACTTTGAGCCAATTATACATCAAAAATCATATAAAATTACAAAAAAATAAGAAGATATCAAAAAAAAATAAAAAAAAAAAACTTTTGATTGATGTACTTAAACTATAATAAATATTATTGTAAAACTACATTTATTTTGTTGAGTACACAATAAAATTATTGTCTATAGAAAAATAAAATATTGTTTCTTTTTTTACTTATTAGAGTGTATTTGTATATTTATATTTATTTCAACAGAATAATGGGCTCCACTGAACATGCCCCTGTGAGGGCCCATGCAAAGTAATAACTACCTACTAGCAATGTTTTTGTCACGCATCAAATATATCAATAAAGTATTTTGTAATAATATTTTTTGTTGGGTATTTTTGGTCAGGTAAATATTTTAATATAATAATTAATAGATAACCATAGATAACTTGGCACTTTTACGTACATTATACACTCGACTGTATTCAATGGCATTTTAAAAATTGTAATACTTTTTACTCTTGACCCCACAAAGTAGCCAGTAGGTAACAAATAGGACGTACCAAGTATCAGAAAAGATGCTAATGTAAAACATCAAATCATTTTTACTGCCCCAAAATGTAGCCTCAAAACGAATATTAAAAAAGCGGGTTAGTGGATGTCACTCTGCTGTACAGTTGGTTACAAGTGGCCCAAATGGGTCAATGTAATGGATGGTCTTAAATTTGAATTCAATGATATAAATCATTGCATACTAAAAACGATTCTGAGCGAAGAATGACCATCAGCCTATAATATTACTAAGTAGGTATATTTTATGATATTATTGTGAATAATTTTAGTATTAGACGTTTATAGGTAGGAACTATTGCAGTATATATACATAATATACTAGTGATATGGAACCGAATACATATGCACTATAGTATATTATATTGATACTATATATACAACATGAAAAAACTCGAAACAATTGTTAGGCAGTCTTAGCCGAAGATGTCTGATGTTTCATGTAAAAACCGAATTGTCAACTGAAATGTTAATAAAATAACAATATCGATTGTATGAACATAAATTTAAAAACTATTATGAAAATTTCAAACTATGCATGTAATCAAACGGTAATCAAAATGGCACAACCCGATATTATGTATATCAGCGGTTCCTACAACGTGCCTCTCTTGCTTTAGAACTACAACTAGTGAAAACCTTTTTAAACTATTTTGATATATAGTTATATGAGATTGAGTAAGTTACTATTTCTGTCATAAAAATGTACAAGAAAGTTTTAATAATATTATATCATTTTCAACCTATTTTACTTTATATTATTTGTGTGTTCGAGATAATCATTTTTTAAGTTTAGAAATGCTAGAATAAAAAAAGTTTGGGAATCGCTGATATATCTATAGATAATAGACTTATTTACATAGTACATACACATACCTACTATATACTATATAATATATATATATTATCAACTAGCTATATTTAGTTTAAGAGGACGTCGCACTTGCATGCGTGTTGTCTCCGTCTTACACACGTACGACATAGGCACATAGGAAATTTTTGTTCGCTAGTTTCAATAGGGTGATGTCTAGGCGTGCAGCTCATAGGGGCACCCCTGGACCCTTTACAAAAACGACAAGGGTCCTAATTATTAATTAAGTGTAAATTAAATTAATTAGATTATTGACGAATTCAAAAATGTTGTTCCTTTTAAACATCCATAATCATTATAATATTGTATATCTATATATTGTTATGTAATATTTATTAGAATGAATAATAAAAAATAAATAAATATTTTTAGTGCATTTGATATCTTTAAGACATTTGTCTGTATCCATAATTGTTTTCAAAATTATTGTTGGCCCTAATTTTTAGTGTGCACCCTTGGAACCAAAAGTCTGCGTACGCCTATGGGTGGTGTCAGTTTTGATATTAGAGTGAATTGACTAATTATCAAACTTTTAAGAAACAACATTATAGTATGTGGTCTATCGTGGGTTTTTTACGATATTTTAATTTTTAAGTCAGTTATGAGTATGTTTAACATTAATATTTTTAAATGCTTGAAACTCACTTAAAAATTAAAATATCGCAAAAACCAACGAGAGAACACAGGTCAATTCACTCTATTATCAAAACCGACAGAACCCTATTGAAACTAGCGAACGAAAATTTGCTGTGTCGTACGTGTGTAAGTCGGAAACAACATAATATGCAGGGCCATATGATGAGTGCAACGTCCTATTAACATTTAGTAAAAATCTATAAAAAATGTAAATCGATAAATTTCCGGTCACTAATTGTTACAGATACCTATCTATTACTTGATAATATGTATGTTTATATATACATGAATATGAAGATATACATAATGTGAGTTAGTGGTTAGGTAGCCATTAAATAATAAAATGTTTAGGCGTATAATATAGCGACGTAGGTAAAGAATTAACAGTATTAAAAATTTACAAAACTAAAAATCATTTTTTTTTTATACTTTAAGCCATTGATATTTGTAATGAATGGTTTAAACAGAGTATAATATATATGATACACCATACATATTACATATCATTACATTATACAAAATATGTATTGAAATGTATAATATTATCATTGGTTAAATAGGTAATGCCGTAATATACTTGAATATTTAACCAATAGTATCAGTGGAGTAGCCAAGAGGGGTTTGGACTTTTAACAGCCCCCCTCCCAATTGTTTTTTTTCCTTAATAAATGTTTTATTTACATACGAAAACTCCGAAAACTGTAAAAATTTGATTTAATTTATACTTAATATATATTTAAATTTTAAAATCAATTGGCCCAAATGCTAAATATTCCTATAACTTGCACTTTTTTTCGGGAGATAAAGAAACCTCAAAACTTATTTACTATAGAGAACTAAATATTCATAACTCGTACGTTTTATAATTTATAATTATTAAGTAACAAATATTATTAATTGATTTCGATTACCTACGATGGGCTGCAATGACTTAACATATTATAACCTCGCAGAGCACGACGAATAATAAACAATAAATGTAGGTTCAATAATATTGTAATATATTTTTACAATATTATACATATTTATGCCGCAGGGAGCAGACATGCTATACATCCGAACAGCTATTGCCAGCAATCGCAATTGCATTGCATTGCATGGTTGGAGGGACTTATAGTCCTTTTCCTGAGTTTGAGACTCTTTACTTTTGATGTCTGGTTATTGAATCTGTGTTTTGATTCTGGGTTCCGGGTGTTTTGTCATGCCATCCGTAGTCTTCACTTTATTGTGATTTACCGCTGGATATTGTCTGGTATGATTTGGTTGTTTGTCGAGGATAGATGTGTTTTTGGACATGGCGTCCTGGACAGTAGTGGTAAAGTTCTCGATCTCTTGATTGAGTTCCGATGTTGTGTTGATGATTAGGTTCGGACTTGGGATGGCAAAATGCAGATCAACTGCGAATTTTGGCCAGTTTGTTATATTTCGCTGCTGATTTGGTGGGTCGGACGATGGCATGCCGCGAAGTGTTAGGATGACCGGACTGTGGTCAGACGAGAGTTCGTCTGTGAAGTTACATAGTTCATATTGTATATGACTGTTTTTCAGTATTACAATATCTAGGACATCAGGTTGATGTTGGTGCTAGTCTGGATGATGGGTCGGGGTGTCTGGTGCGATAATGAGGTAGTTATTCTCCTCCATGTGGTTTAGAAGTATCATTTGTTCTTTGGTGTTGGGCCTCTTCGGGCGCTTGCGTCCACCGTGGTGGGCGCCCATGTTGAGTATGAAAGACGTTAACTGTATACTTTAGTATGAGTAGACAAGGCTTAAGTATCAAGATAACTGACTCGTGATGATAAACAATTTAAGAGAAATAAAATAAACAATGCAAGTACGTGCGGCACACTACAGGCAGCAATACGGCGGCATTAATCTCCGGCGGAAACCTTTTGTCGTCGCCGTCGTCGGTGTTTTATTTTTTTGTTCAAATCCGTTCGGAGTCGTGAAAACCGTTTGTTTGTGTTGTCGCTATCGTCTCCTCGGTGAGAGCAGCAGCCCGCACGGCCACAACACTGTGACAACGGAACGCGCCGACCCGGCAGGTATAATAATAATAATATTATTATCATTATCATAGTGTAATCTGCGGCCGCTGACGCTTTCTTTTGTGATTTGATGCCTTTTCGCATCGCGGTTTTACGTCATAATATATAATGCGATGTAGTGGTGTTGTGAGTCTGTACTCATTTATTATTATAATTCACTTCCCCGTCCTTTGTCTGCAAAGGTCTTTTCTTTTTTAACGCGACAACGATCGCACTCGACTCGCCGTTTTGTTAATAATAATTGGTTGCTTTATTCTGCAGGGCGGTCCGTCATCGTATGATATAATTTTGCAATTTAGTGCTTTACAGCATTTCCAGCATCACTATTTTATATGTATGATATATGCACACGTCATCTGTATAATGTCTAGAGCGCTTAATTTTTATTTTTTATCACTGTTGTAAGACACCCTCTCTCCCGCACCTCTGAACTTTTTTAAATGGCTTTATCTGTATTTTTTTTTTTTGTGAATTCCGCGTATTCAGCACTAGCACAAAATTTACTTTAAAACGCCGATCCCCGCGAAGGCGCGAATAATATAATAAATAATAATAAGATATATTATTATAGTTTATAAGTTTATTCTGGCCTCCGGGTGATATTATTGTATATTATTTTAAACGCACCGATCTGAAAATATATCAAAACAAAATATAAACTATGCAAAATGTCGTGTAATTATTATTAAAAATATATTATGTGTACCTACCTCCTACGTGGAACTATACTGATATAGGTCTTAATGATTATGGTAATATAATCGCCAAACGAAACAAAAAATACCTTAAAAAATCGATGTTTTAAATGGTCTATGCGCGCTGAGTTATAGGTATATACGTGCCTATAAACGTATACATAATTTATAAATTAGGTGATCATTTTTAGTATACTTATAGGTACCTACGTAGGTGCCTATTGGATAATATAATATATTAGACAACGATCGCTGGCTACAGATCGATAAATCAAATTCGAGTATATTATAAAGGTAGCTTTCTGCGGGATGTACCTATACCTATATAAACGCCGGTCGTCGTGACCCAGCGGACGCGCGAGGGGCAGGTAGATATTATAGTATAATAATATTACAACAATAATAATGTAATAATAACAGTAGAAAAAAAAACAACTATAGCCTATTGTTTTCGTGCAGTTTTTTTCTTTTCGGTTAACGATTATGCATTAGAACATAAGGGCGAGAACACGCCCACCCGACATCGTTCTATACCTGTATGGTATATTATAATTTGTACACACACACACACACACACACACACACACACACACACACACACACACACACTCACTCACTCACATTATGGATGCGTGGTAACATGGATGTGTAGAGAACACCGTGAGAGAGTTATAATTGCTGTCCCGCGCGCGCGCATACAAGAATGTTGTCGGGTTATTTATGCATTTCATATTAGGTATAAGAAAAAAAATATAATACCAAATAGTAATCATAATCGTTTTGACGAGCTGTATAACATTATGTTTTTCTTTACACCAACTCGTGTAATACATATCTAGATTCTACCTAGGTATAATGGTCGTTGCCTCGTTGGTCGATCAAGCGAAATTCGTTTGAGAGTTCAATTCGATTTCGAGCATTTTTTTTTTCTATATACAAATATTATATACACGCTTCTGCGAAACGGTTTAAAGTTTATAGTTTGTGAAAACAAGAGCTAACAATGCTGGTAATATTCCAATAGAATAAATTATGAGAAATATGAACGCTGCAGTGCTTACAGGTTACAGCGACAATACGCGTGCATAAATATAAAATATATAACTACATAATAGATTCAAAAATGTTTTTTGCTCTGAATCTAAATTGTATTTTTCTGAGGTTTCGCAGTGTTTTTTTCATGGCTATCGTTATGGCCAAAAAATGTTTACTATCGGTACCGATTTCGCAGGACCTTGCATCGCTGTGATTTTAATAAAATACCTAATAATAATAATTCTCATTGACAACGGTTTCATGAGCTGCTATATTAGTACACGTCGTGTTATAATTGTTGTTTTTTTAAAAACGAGTTTTATAGTGCACACTACACGTAGTATTGCAACGTGTGTATTTTTTTACCGAGCCTGTACGAACTGGAAACTTAAATACTGTTGGTAAAATATATTTGCGACGAACAGAGAGTTCAAACACTTCAAACACGTTTAGGAGTTAGGACGCGTCGAATTTCTTTGCATTCCTCAAGTATTTAAAGCTCAGAGCTCCTATAAAGTTTAAAGTAATTCAGGGCATATTTATATAGAACAAGGTTTGTTAGGTTTGTAGGGAGCACGCAGTGTTGATGTAGGCTGTATATTATATTTTAGTATAGAATATATAGATAGTTATATAAAATCATTTCGATAAAAGTAAGTAGGTATTCGAATATATGTTTCTCTGTTAACAATACTAATTTGATACAAAATACATAATGACGTTATGTGATGTTGTGATGTACAATATTAATAATAGGTTTTAAACTTTAGTATAATATACCTACATATAGGTACTATAAAATGTTCCGTATAATATATTAATATGTATAAATGTTATAACTTATAAACGTACGGATTTTATTTGAAGGTCATTTTCTCGTGCTATAATTATTGTATTGGAGGTAGTATTCAAATATATATTTTGAGAGTTTTTGGGTAAGTATATATTTATACTTATAAAAAATACGCTTTACGACAATGTTTCACGTAGGTATACCTACTGCAGTGAGCTGGCACGCCCTGCTACAGCGCGGGTGTGCGCACACGCCCATACCACAGTATATTAATTATACTTATAGGTAGTAGATACCTGAGTATATTATATTATACTTGAATAGGTTACTCGGTGGCATTGTTATTTCAAATTTTTCTTCTAACCGTGAGTTTACCGAACGGAGATCACCGAACACCGTGGCGCGTACGGATTGAACCTATAATAATATATACTATAGGAGTTAGGACTACCTAGTATACCTATGTAGGTACTCTGGACACTCTGGTACTATTATAATATTATGGTTGCAATGGTTGCATAATATATAATATCAGTCTTGCGATAAAAGTTTGCTGAGGTCGTTTGCAGTGGTCGTTGACCGTCGTTGGGCATCATAGGTAATAGGTGTAGCCTATAAATGTTGCACATCCCAAAATCGGAAAAAGTGAAAAATTTTTACATTTTACTATTTGAAATGTCGAAAAGCCGTTCGCGTTACCACGCACCATCCTTATACATTATTGTACATTCGACAATTATTTTGAATTTTCGTCAATCATTAGGTAAGTGATATATTTGTCTGACAAAGATTCGGATGAACTGCAGTCTCTTCGTGCTGTTTGTTCTTAATACAGTGTTCGCTTATTTAAGTGTATGTCTATAAGATAACAGTACACTAGTACACTATGTTGTGGACATAATAATTAGTAATTACTAATAAGTAATAAATAATAATTGTAATTGTATTTATTCATTCATAAGACATTGCTAGTATCAGTAGTCACATTTAGTGCTAAATTCGTACGAAATATAGAAATTAATATGTATAGAAGCCAGTGCACTACTTGCAAATATGCAGTAGATACCTATAAAGTATAGGTAAAGTATAAATAAAGTATAGGTACCTATAGGTACCTCTCATACTTCATAGGCTTGGCAGCGTCGGTATTTATAAATAATTTAACGGAGATGTTTTAAAAATGCAAAATAAATTTTCCCCCAATTCCCCACAAAACTATATTTTTTAAATTTAAATAACATATTTTATCATATTAACCCGTCGTACGGCGCACGGGGTAAATAATTACCCCAGACATTTTAAAAATTCTTATAAAATATATAATATGGTATGTGGATATTTGATCACCTCTGCAATAGCCTCAAATATTACAATTATACGAAATATTGTTAAAAAAAAAAAAAAATGTTTTTATAATCACTCTGTATAATATTAACACTATTTGTATATCCATATATTTCCGAGGGGTAAATTTTTACCCCATACGCATAAATGAGACATCTAAATCCATGCTCCGTACAACGGATTAATAGTATCACAAAAATTATTCAAAAAACTGTACTTATTACAATCCACAAATAATCAATAACAAAATAAAATAAATTATATTACAGATAAAAAACACAGAATACAGTAACACAACAAAAAATATTGATAAGGTCAGGTGGGGTAAGAGCATAACGGGGCTAGTGCCTAAAAAATACAATCTTTCAATTTTAAAGTTGATTTTATGAAGATTACGAAGTTTAATAATAATCGAATGTTGTATAATGTGGGTCACACTTTAGGATATCAAACATAGCAGTTATCACTAAACAAAAATCTAAAAAGTTATTTACTCGTATTTTTTTAAATCGACGCTAATTCAATGGTCTAATCTAAATTGCTCTAAATAATTTCAAATTAGGTAAATAAATGTTATTTTATATTATTTTATAATACTATTTCATTTATGAATTATGCTAATTGTATATTTGTATAATACAAATGAGTATTAGCCGATTATGCACTTTCCCCGTGTAAAGTTCCACACGGGGAATGTGTGACATGATTTATGGGGCAAGTAAGACATGCCTTATTTTGTTAAATAGTTAAAAAAAATATTATAAACATTGTCTGTGACTAAAATATTTATGAGTTATAAATATTCATCTTTAAATATGTAAATAGTTGACAATTAACCTTTAAATATGTGTTAACATTATATCAACCAAATCTTAAAAAAACTAATTTGTATTAGCTATAAATTAAAAAAAAACTGATGGTCTGTCAAATAATTGAATTTCTTTGAAGATTTTTATTAGTTTATGGCACTTGGCCCGGCCAAGGAATAGCTTGCATAAAACTGTATTAAGAGTACCCGTTTTGCACTTACCCCGGTGGCCGGGAAAGTGCGACACTTATTTATTTATTTTTTTAAATTATTTTTTTCAACTAAAAAATTAACAAAACAATTTTTGGAATACAAATTTGAATTCCTGATGTGTTAATTAATGGATCATAAAAAACTATGTTCCACGTAAGAATACAGTAAGATTTTGCAAAACCTCGTCGCTGTTACCCCACCTGACCTTAATATATTTTAATTCATACTCTTTGTATCCATGGTTTTATATATTTTTAAACGTTGTGCTAAGTGATGGCTATATATTATAGAACCAATCGTCATAAGCGTAAATTTGGTTAAAATCGGGGGGGGGGGCTAGAAATATCAATTGACACGTATTAAAATAATTTATTATACTAACGAGGTCAAGTTAGGTAATACTTTGGGGGCTTCTAGAGTTTTTAGGGGGGCTATGCCACTTAAGCCTCCCATTTACGCTTATGACCATTATTGTTATGACTATGGGTTTAAGACATAAATAGTCTGTGGTTATGACACTTTACTGGACAGCTGTTTATTTTGAGATGGTGTTTTGTTATTACTTATTATGCTCACCATGAAATGTAAACTCACAGATTTTTATAATAAAATATAGATATGTTAATTTACTTAATTATTCGCATTTCTTCGTTGTCTTAATAAAGAACCTTCTTTAGTTTTTTATATATTGATTCTTATGCAAACAAAAAATCCTAATTATCATTTCAGGATATTATGTGTATTAATGTATTGTCAATCTCGTTGATCTAAACGAATGTAAAGGAATAATTAAATAATTTGTATAAAGAAAAATAGAGTAAAACACAATTTAAATGTAACAAAATACTAAAAACGTTATTATAATTTAAAATGTAGTTATTTTTTTTTCAATGTGGTGAAATCAATAGTGCATATTTTGTAGACAACTCTCAACTGAGTGCTACCTTATTTTCGAGTGTACGACGTGTACGTATATTTAGAAAATAATTGGGAGGGATGGATGGCTGGTCACTTGGTGGAGGTTACTATAGCCACGGTAAATTATAATCTAGATCATAGTATAATAGACTATAATCTACCGTGTTATAACTTATAGCGAACTGCGCAGTGTTGCAGTGGTCGCGTGAAAAAACAATTATTAAACAATCCATGGCGTCCGAGCCGTGCGATAAGAGGCGTTATCTCTTACCGCTTACCAGCTATCAGTTGATAGTGTCTTCTCCATGGCATATTTATATAATAGAAGATAATATACCAAAGATTTTTAACAACCTTGTTGGTACTCGTCGTCGTCGTTGTCGTAATCATTTTAGTATACCACATTACCACGGACATTCGCTCATTCCATACGTACCTAAATCCGTGTAATCATCAATTATTGTAGTCATATCACTCACTTTTCAACTGCTGCCGTATTGCAGTCGTGAAGTCTCGCCGACTCGGAACTTGCTGTAAGTTTCATGCGACGCTCGTACATACGGCGGACAGGTAATCACCATCGTGTTTTACTACAGTAAAATATAAATCATAGTCACCGCTCACATGACGTACACCGCCGAGACCGAGGCGGCCGCCGCGGCCGCGGTGAACCTGCTCCGCGACAACGTCCGGTTGTCCGGAACGACGGGCACCGGCGCCGGTGGCCCGTGGTACTATCCGCCGACCGTGGTCGACGAGGACGGCCGCCTGTGGGGCAGCTGCGCCGACCACATGGAACGGGTGCTGGAGAACCGGACGGCCATCCGACACTACTACCGGTCGCTGCAGCCGGACGCGCCCGCACCTCCCCTGCTGAGCCGCGCCGGTCACGTGGCCGTCATCGAGGCGTTCGCGGCCGATCTGCTGGCGTACTACCGGCCGCTGCTGGCCGCTGTCGACCCTCTGCGCAGCGACTTGGGAGCACAGACCGTCGTCCTGCTGGCCGAGGCCAATGTCCTGTACAACATCGTGTTGGCCATGCGCCCGTGACCACCCGACCACGGCCTCCGGATGAGCTCTTGAGATGAAAATCCATCGATCGGCGAAAAAGAAAAACGACAGTCTTGTAATATAATATTTATTATGATATTTTGTTTTTGTCAATAAAATTGTTTACGTCCGGCTGTCTATGTCATTGTTTTTGAACAGGTACCTAGCTAACATATCATTAAATATTATAGGTAGGTAATATTATTAATTTATCTTTAAGAATACGAGCAGAAGTCCAAAGTTCAAATATTAGGCACATTAAAGTAAATTTTTAGTACATTTATACAATAATTAATAAATATCAGATAATACGTGGCGGGTAGAATAATTATAACTAATTTTAATACTATATGCAAATGTGGCGAAGAAGAACCGTACATGATGCATTACAATACCTATATAATTAATAACTAATAAGTAAGGTATAAGTATACATTATAAAATATATAGTATGGTATTATAGGTGGAAAATATTTTGAATAATAGAATACAAGAGTTTTGGTGGTTCAGTTACCAAGGAGTTCTGTTGTCAAAATGAAAGTTGGGTCACTCTAATTATAAAAAAAAGAGCACCTTAAAATACACACTTAGGCAGTACATCACGCCACGATTTTCAGGTATATTATGACGGGAAGCAACACAATTTACGAGAAAAATTTCGTGAGAAAGCATATTAAATTTGTAGTTAAATAATGAAGTTTTTAAAAATGATTGTTTTATATTGGTACTTATTGATTATTTATTGTTTTTATTGTCTTTAATTATTACCACTGCTTTTATTGACTTTTTAACATTTTTATTCTGATATTTTCGGAAACGATTCCAGTAAAAGAGCTTCACTTAATATGTGCACGAAACAGTTCAAGTGAATATTTTTGTAATGAGGAGGCAATTAGTGTAACATTTTTCAAAAAAAATCAAAAAAAATCTTAGGTTAGGTAAGAAGCCACTTAGTGAAAGTCCTAAATAATAACGTGAGCCCCATAAAAATGTCAGAGATGCCTGTTTGGTCTTAACAAAACAAATAACAAAATTCAAAAATATGTATTTATAACTCTAAAGTTTAAATTTAATATGGAGAAAAATATTAATTTGACTCAACAAAAAAGAAGATAATTTTTCTTTTGTTATCATCCTGTTTTCTGGACTCGGGTCACATAAGTAATGTGATTAAGCAACTTTAAAATTTTCATATAGTAACTAAATGGTAATTGCAGTGTTATACTGCAAGATTGAAACAAAGAGTCTTCTCCAAAATGCTGCGACACATAACACAAATAATATAAGACCTATAAAATCAATATATTCCTCGCTCCACTCGCAGAATATAAAATTATATTGTTCTATACTATTGCGTAGGTATAAACTACCGGTAAGACAAATACCCCGGGTGTCCAAAACAATTGTATAAAGCAATGACATGTGCAATAAAGATGTCTATCAATGGATTCGTATGATTCGTTATAGCGATGGCTCGCTACGGTCGTTATTTAAGGGGCAGCATCTAGGCAATTTCTAATATTGTCCTAGCCGCCCGGGATCTATGTGTTAGTTGTAAATAATTATTAGTGTGAGTGAAACTAAATGCGGGTATCCTATCTCGTACGAGCATGCACATGTCAATAACTCGAAAACCATATACATTTCACTTCACGAATTTTACAAAAACATACATTTGTTTTGACAAAATTAAAGTTAGTTACGTTGTCTGATTTTGATTCTGGAAAAATATTTGAATTCAGCAGAAAAATTACTGTAGATCGTACGTTACATTTTCCGTTTTTAATATTATAATTTTAATTTTAATTAAGATTCGAAAAAGTTCATATTTTCAAGTTTTCAATTACAGTTCATAATAATATAAAATTTAGTTTTTACAAAGTGCTTCGTAGGATCAATAGACAATTTTGGGGAGTTCAAATTTTTTCAGAATCAAAATCGGACAACTTTAACCAACTTTAATTTTGTCAATACTTTAGGTGTTTTCAGATAAAATTGACGGCAGTAGCGAGGCCCCTTAATAATATCACGGACCTAGCAGAAAAATAAAATATATTATGATTGGCTGGAAGACCTGCCACTTGACGAATTCGGTGTAACCATAAAACGAATACGAAAAACGTTTTAATAACAATTAATAATTACAGTTATTACATATTATTATATGTATAATAATATAACTGTAATATTATTATAATATAACTAATACGTATTGGCATTGGGCTTCGCGATGCTCAATAACCCGATAATATATAGATAGGTACTCGTTAAAATTAAATTCACCGTCTCCTCTTCGGTCGTCTCATAATATTATAAATACATTATCTGTGGGTCGACGGCGTAAACATCAGTCAACACACATATTATAGGTGTATTATGACATGTGTACAACAGTATTGTACAATATATGATATAAAATATCATAGAGGGTGTCACGGTTTCGTCTGCGTCGTGGAAAAACGAAAATACGACCGTCTCGACGAAACGGAAACACGTGTCGGGAATGTGTGTGCGCGTGTTAATTAACTCAATTAATAACATTACAAGAGGCGCCTCCTATACGCAATAATAATAATAATAATAATAGTAATAATAATATAACATCGTTTCGTGGGATTTCACGGAAAATGTGCGCATATTTTGTCTGCTGGAACGCGGCGTCGGTGGTTTTAACGCCGTGTAAACGACACGTGACCGCCGCTCGCGCTCGCGTGATATATGTGTCAATGTGTATGTGTGTGTGCGTTACGACCGCATTACCGCAAACGCTTTTGACAAACGGCTCCCGTCAACGCCGTCTGGTATCCCCCGGTATGTTCGTGTTATATTTATATATATATATATATATATACACACATAATTACGACCGCGCACCGAAAAACGGATTTTCGGCCACGGGCCATTTCTTACCGTCCGTCAAAACGTTGACGTCCCGTTGTAGATAGGCCGAGTCGAGTATAGGGAGAGGTGGGGGGAGAGAGAGGGAGAACGAGTGTATATAATATTATATTATAATATGCGACGATGACGTGATATATTATATATTATATACTAGCGGGACAGGAAATCGTAATTAGTACTCGTCGAGCGGTCTGACACGCGTCGTTTGAGCGCAAGTTTCCACCGAAAAATGCAGCTCCACGGCGTCTGCAGCGGGACACTGCTGCTGACTGCACAATATAGACCCCTGGGAACCGCTTGATCCGAATATAATATAGACCCCTGTTTGTAAAATGTAGAAATGTTCAAAAACCCAAAATAGAGTCTTACGTATCCCGCGAATTCCCGTGTAAAAATCAGAATGTCACACCTGCAGCTGATCCCCAGCCGGCCTGACCGTCGCTTCTGCAGTGATCGTGTAGTGAAAAAGTTTGGCCTATACCTAATAATTTGGCCACCTTATACATTTAAAACTGAAATTGTACCACATGCCCAGTGTCCAGTGAGGCGAATCATCGATTAAGCCCACGAATATTGTCCGTGCTTTTTACCATATTATCCTGCTGCACCTTGTACCTACTTTAGTATAATATTATATTAGACACGTTTTGGTCTACTTATCTATATATACATGCACTATGCAGGTTACGTATGCTTATAGTATTATATGTAATATACCTACCGATTACCGTAGTCCGTAACCATACTTATAATTAGTTTATAGTTATAACCAGTGGTTTGGACGATTGGACGGTTTGGTATACTTTGGTGCTACTTTTAATCACCCACTGAACTGCGTATACTGGCCACGATTTTGTTGTATTGTGATCCGATTAAGTCGCTGTGCAGTGTACAAAAATACTCGTTTATAACCTTTCTTATAATATTTTATTCTTATTTCTTTTAATGTTGATATTGATATAGGTACCTAGTATATTATAATATAAGAATTATATAAATGTATTAATATACCTAATTATAGTAAAATGTAAATATAAATACATTATATTTATACATTTATATATTGAAACAAAACATAAAACATACTTACTTTATACCTGAAGTTATATTCAAAAGTAGCAATATATAAATAAAAATTACTCAATATGTTTATTATGTATTATGTTATAATAATAAATAATAAATCGATAGTAATAATAATAATAATATTAAGTACATTCATAAATTCATGAAAATGAGACCAATTTTGAATACGTAAACGTATAAATTAAACGTAATTTACGATTGTATACCCTTTAATTTTAATTTGGTAGGAGGGGGGGCAAAAGTATATATTATATTATATGAGTGTCAATTGCCCTTAAATGAAATACTCTTATAAACATACTTAAACAACAAAAAATACCAATACGCACAAAATACGACAACAAATTATTACCCCATTTCGATAATATAATATAACCGTATAAAAAATGCTAATAGAACACATAAATTGGCACCGAACTTAATACGTTGATGTTTCGATATTCTTCATCGTTATAACAATGATCGCGACAGCCGTACTTGTAAAGGCGTAAAGGTCTGAATACGGGACAGTTCGATTAAAAACCTCGACACATTTTGTCCCCCCCGAAATAGTATATGGTTGCCTACCTTCAAACATATCTAGGTTCGACAACGCCAAAGGATTTCTCATATATGCAACCACTATGATTTTGGGGGGATCCTATGTCGCAAGCATTTAAATATTGACTGTCCCGTATTGATATCTATAGTATTTGATTATTTTTCGACAGGCTGCAGCTGTACTTAATAGGTATATGTAAAATAATAAAATATAACTTTGGATTTGTTTTAAATATTATTATTTTGTATAAAATATTCGACAATTTATTCGAATATATTGACATTCGCACCTTCTACACAATACATATTATTATTTACCATCCTTGCACAATGTACAGTTTAAATTATTATACCTATCCTTGCCCGTTACCGTATCTACCGGTGCTATGCGTTATTTTATGATTTATTAATTATCTAACAGTTTCCGTCGCGTTTAGTATTTGAAGGTTTAAACACAGACTATAATATATGAA